CACCCGTGCATTCTTTCGTGTCTGTGAGGCAACATACAAATTTGTTGCAACGAACCGTCGGCCGCTGAGCCAGCCTCGCTGAGTTAGACGGACAGAAACAGTTCGTTACAACTGGCGCCCAACGTGGGGCCTCACGACAAGCAAAGAAAGGAGTGCATCGGGAAGGGCGGTACTGAAGGGATCTATACACCATGAGGGGACGACAATGGATCCATTCCCTGAGGAAGGAAGAACTGGTCCGGTGTGCCCTAGAGTTTGGGCTGGAACTGGAAGGCACCGTGTCCGAAATGCGGAGACAGTTTAAGGACTGGGTGGAGAAGCACGAGGCGGACCCAGAGTGCGCAGACATGCTGGAGGCCTGGGAGCTCCGGGCAGGTAGAGCTTCACCCTTGCCAGCGGAAGATAGGCCCGACGCGTACGAGCGTCTGCCGTTGCCGGGAGGGGCGGGCGCGTCATCGGTGTGGAAAATGCCGGCAGAGGACCTCATAGCAAGCCTGGCGATACCAGACAGGAGCCGCTCCCCGAGGCCGTCCGTCAGTAGACCACGGCCAAAGAGTGTGGATCCAGCGGAGGCCCGGAACACCACGACGCGGGAGCCATCGAGGAGCCGCAACGAAGAGGGGCGGGAAGTTCCCGAGGCGCAGGCCGGGAGGCAGTCGCGCATACTATACGCGAACGTAGCCAAACAGGTGAGGGAATGGTCGTTCCGTTTCGATGGGACGGCGAAGCCCCTGGAGTTTCTGGAACAGGTCGAATGGTCGGCCGATATGTACGGGCTGGACGTGAATCTGATTCCCAGAGCGATGCCAGAATTGCTGAAGGGCCGGGCATTGATGTGGTTCATCGCCAATAATCGGCAGTGGCACACGTGGGAAGCCTTCGCAACAAGCTTCCAGGCCTACTTCTTGCCGAGGGGGTACTTCGAGAAGTTGCTCCAAGAGGTACGACAAAGGAAGCAAAAATGGGGAGAGCCATTCAAGGACTACATGGTGGACATGCAGACCCTCATGAGACCCCTCAAATGTACTCCCGAGGAGCAGATGGAGCTCATCCGCGAGAATAGCATGCCAGACCTGCGGATATTCATCAGGCCACATAGGTGCAAGGACCTGGACCACATGATGATGCTAGCGGATGAGTTCGAGGCTCTGGAGAGGGATCGCGTAGAGTTCCAGAAGGAGAGTCCAGCGGGAAGAGCGAAAGCGGCAAATCCCTTCTCGAAGTCGGCCGTGACTGAAATATGCCGGAGGTGCAAGGACGAGCCGGCCGCCGTAGCGGGACAAACAAAAGCGAAAGTGGAGGCACCGGCGGCGGAGGACCAGACGCATTCCAATATAGAGGGGGATACGTTAAGAATCCCGCCCAAGCATGCCGACGATGCGGAAGTGACGAGCACTGGTCACAGGCATGTCAAGGGCGCCCGTTGACATTCTGCTGGAGGTGTGGAAAGGTCGGCGTCACGACATGGCAGTGCTGCAAAAAGTCGGGAAACGCACCGCGACCCAAGCCGAGGAGGGCCGTGCCGGGGTCGCAGAATGCAGTCCCCGAAACCTAATCGGTGAACTCACCGTGGAGGATGTGCAGCTGTCAGCCGTGGTGGACATCGCAGGGAGGAAATGGAAGGCCACGGTCGACACAGGGGCCACTAGCAGCTTTGTCAGCTGTGAGCTGGCGGAACAGCTGCGAGGAGAGGGGCGCGAGGAGAAAACCGACAAGCAGGTGCGGTTGGCCGATGGACGCCATCGCACCATCGAGACAAAAATTGAAGTGGAACTGGCGTTCGGAGACAAAGTGGTCTCAATGGCGCTTCTGGTGCTGCCAGGAGTCATCGATGCGCTGGTACTAGGCTGGGACTTCATTGCCGCAGTCGGAGCAGAGGTGACCTGTGCGGGGCACAGGGTCGTGATCCCTGCGAGAGGCCGACGGAAAGGGCGGGTGGAAGAAAGGCTGTCGGTGGCAGTAGTGGAGGCCAATGAGGAGTCCCCAGAAGGAATGGCGGATGAGGAGTCCGAAGCCGAGTATCCCACGGGAAGCAGGCGCCGCGACAGTGCAGAGGAAGGCCCGTTCGAAGAATTTCTGGCCAAGGAATTGGAGGAATTCAAGAGGATGAAAGGGGTATCGAACGTGGCGGTGCATACGATCACAATGAGCGATGCGATACCGGTTAAGCAGCGATACTACCCGAAGAACCCAAAGATGCAGGCGGAGAACAACCAAAAGGTAGACAAGCTGCTGGAAATGGGGTGTATCGAGCCATCAAAGAGCCCTTATAGTTCCCCCATCGTAATGGTTAAAAAGAAAACTGGTCAGTGGAGGTTGTGCGTGGACTTCCGACAAATCAATGCAAAGTCTATCAAGGACGCATACCCAATGCCGCGGATTGACTACATCTTAGATCAGCTGAGGGAAGCACGGTTCATCAGCAGCTTGGATTTGAAGGACGGGTATTGGCAAATACCACTGGAAAAGGATAGCCGGAAGTTCACAGCCTTCACGGTGCCAGGCAAGGGATTGTTCCAATGGAAAGTGATGCCGTTCGGGCTACATTCGGCCTCGGCCACGTTTCAGAGGGCGTTGGACCAGGTTATTGGTCCGGAAATGATGCCGCATGCTTTCGCATACCAAGACGATATCATCGTTATAGGCCGAACGAAAGAGGAGCACCAACGTAATCTGGAGGAGGTGTTCCGACGCTTAAAAAGGGCCAACTTAAGGTTGAATGTGGAAAAATGCCAGTTCGGCCGAAGGGAGCTGCGGTACCTGGGGCATTTGATGACGGGGGAAGGCATCTGCACTGATCCGGAAAAGGTGGCCGCCATCGCAAAGCTGAAGCCACCGGCGAACGTGAAAGAGCTTCGCCAGTACCTGGGCGTCGCCTCATGGTACCGACGATTCGTGCCAGGATTCGCCACCATGGTACAGCCGCTTAGCACATTGCTGAAGAAAAAGGTGAAGTGGGAATGGGCATCAGAGCAACAACAGGCATTTGAGTCCGTGAAGGGTCGGCTGGTAGCCGATCCGGTGCTAACTTGCCCGGATTTCTCGAAGAAGTTTGTGCTACAGACGGACGCCAGCGACTATGGATTGGGAGCGATTCTCACCCAAGAAACGGAGAAGGGCGAAAGGGTGATCTCATACGCCAGCCGAACGCTGAACAGTGCGGAGAAGAATTACTCGGCTACAGAGAAGGAATGCCTGGCAATTGTGTGGGCCATCAGGAAGCTCAAACCCTATTTGGAAGGGTATCACTTCAAGGTGGTCACCGACCACATGGCATTGAAGTGGCTCAACAGCATAGAGAGCCCGACGGGGAGAATCGCAAGATGGGCGCTAGAGCTACAGCAATACGACTTCGAAATAGCGTATAGGAAGGGGAAGCAGAACGTGGTGGCTGACGCGCTATCCCGACAGCCCATGGAAGAGCGATGTATGCGAGCGGAGGAGGTTGGACAGGAGCCCGAAGAGCAATGCTCATGGATAAAGAAGGTCAAGGAGAAGATGAGAAGGGAGCCGGCCAAGTTCCCAGATTATGTGGAGGAGGCAGGCGGGGTGTACCGGCATATCCCGCACCGGGCCGGCGACGAAGAAGTAGTAGCTTGGAAGCTTTGCGTTTCAAACCAAGTCAGGCACAGGCGGCCGGGAAGATGCTGACACAAGTACCAGAGGAACCATGGGCGACGGTGTGCGCGGATTTTGTGGGACCATTGCCCAGATCAAAACACGGCAACGCCATGCTGTTGGTGCTGGTGGACCGGTTTTCACCGGTTTTCTGCCGAATGCGTTGTACGATGAGGAAACACTCGGCACGGGTCAGGAGACAAACACTCCGGATGAACATGCGGTAAAGCTGAAAGAACTTTTTCAGCTGGTGAGGCGGAATTTGGAAAGAGCAGCCCAGGATCAGGCAAGATATTACAACTTGCGAAAGAGAGCTTGGAAGCCCAAGGTCGGTGAAAAGGTGTGGGTTAAACAGCACCACCTGTCTAACGCAGCCGAGGGGTTCGCAGCAAAATTGGCCCCAAAGTATGCCGGTCCCTACCAGATCACTGATTTCGTATCACCGGTGATATGCAAGCTGCGTAAAGACGGCGATAGGCATACACGGACGGCACATATTGGGGATCTGAAGCCACAGGCAAACGACGAAGGAAAATAAGGAGTCAGAAACGGGTGGAGCGATCCAGAAGCCAAAGGCGTTCGGCTGACCGAGACCCGGGCGGAGAGATACCCTCGGGGGTCCAGTGAAGTGGGAGTGATACTCCGGGTCCTGGGGTCCAGTGTGCCTGGGTCATCTACAGCCGTCGGGCTTGGCTGGGCAGAAGACACTACCCATGCGTTGCTGACGGGCGAGGAGTCGGATGATCCTCGGGTCCGAAGCAGCTGCGTGGGGCAGAGGTCACGCCAAAGGTCAAGCCGGAGGCGGCAATGAGGTGACGAGCCAGGGCCGATAGTCATATTGCAGCCAGGCGAAAGGTCGGAGGACCTGTTAGTCAGGGGCAGGTGTGACGATTGGCATCACGGATCAAGGATGCAAGATGGGCTGGAGAAGAAGCCAGAGTCATTAAAGGATAGCGCACATTCACAGTACTCACATGGGCCGAAGGGGGTGTCGATCAGTCGGGGGGAGAGGGGAAGCCGGGCGGCAAGGCCTAAGAAAAAAAAAGGAAAAAAAAAGGAAGAATATAATAAATGGGAAAAGGAAAATATATATATTTAAAGCTCTTCAAACAAAAGGGGGTGGGATCAGGTATGATCGGGTGCGAGCAGACCCCCACCGGCCGCGGAAGGGTTATCGCGGCGAAGAGCCCAATGCTGAGAGGCAGGAACCGTCGAGAGAGCGGGAGAAGGAATGCCCAACTACCGTACGACGGAACGACGGGAAAAACAGCAAGGGCTCGACGGCGGCAGAGGCTGGAGCTGTCGATCAGTCACGAGCCAGAGGTAGACGCAAACGCAAGCGCGGACTTTAAAAGAGAAAAAAAAAAGGGAAGAAAATCGCCATGTTGGAATTTTACTTGGAGGAACAAGCCAGAAGTGTGGGGAGCCGCAATCCCGAGATCCAGCGCAAGCGACGGGCGGAGCCCTCGCGAGGTGAGCGATGCGATCGGCGGAGCGAGACTCCAGAGTTGGAGCTCATGGCGTCCCCATTCACAAGCCCCATGGCATCCCCAAGGAGCAAGTGGTCCTCGTGGGCGTCTCCTCGAAGCAGACGGGAGCCGGAAGTGTCGCCAGGAGCAACGGAGGAGGAGGACAGCGACGGCAGCGACGTGGTGGTGGTCTCCGTCGAGCCGGCTCCGAGGAGAGCCGAGCTCCGGAGATGGCAGCTCAACGACGAGGAGGAGCGGGCACGGGAGCAGGAGCTGCGACGCGACGCAGCGTTCCTCGGCATCGCCATCCGATCGGCGGAGCGCTATTTGCGTGAACAGCCGTTGAAAACCAGGCCGCCAGCGACACCATCGCAGCCGACGTCAAGGCCAGCAGCAGCGCAGCAGGCCTCAGCACACCCGACAGCGCAGCCGCCAGCGACGTCAGCAGCGCAGCCGCCAGCGACGCCAGCGGCGCAGCCACCAGCGACGTCAGCAGCGCAGCCGCCAGCGACGCCAGCGGCGCAGCCACCAGCGACGCCAGCAGCGCAGCCGCCAGCGACGCCAGCAGCACAGCCGGCAGCGACCCCAGCAGCGCGGCCAACAGCCGAGACCGTGCGGAGGAGCCAGATGGAGCAGCAGCGCAATCGGCGAGCAGCAGCAGAGGCGCGACGCGAGGAGGAGCGGCGACGCGAGGAGGGACGGCGACGCGAGGAGGAGCGGCGACGCGAAGAGGGGCGACGACGCGAGGACGAGCGGCGACGCGAGGAGGAGCGACGACGCGAAGAGGAGCGGCGACATGAGGAGGAGGCCCGAAGCAAGGCAGCGGAGAAGGCGCAAAGGGAGGCGGCGCTGAACAAGGCCATGATGCGGAAGCAAAGGCAGCCCTGCAACGGCAGATGGAGGCCGCGCGGCGGGAAGCCGAAGCTCACGAGAGGATCGAGGAGGAGGCTCCGCCTCCTCGAGGTCCTCAAGGGAGGACAGGTCTGTTTAGCAGACCGACGGGGCAGCAGCAACCCAAACAGGGTGAGGAGGCACCCTTATGGGAACGCCGGCACCCCGAGCCACCGCCGCAGCCACAGAGCACACAACAACCGACGCCCCCGCAGTCACCGCCACCAAAATCACCACCGCCGAACGCACCGACACAACAGTCGTCGTCACGACAGGAGGAGGCACCGAAGGAGCCGCCACAGGAAGAGGGCCAGCGGCCCCAGTGGGGTGGTCCGGAGACCGCGGTGTGCGGGCCATTTGTGTCACAAAACGTGCACACGGCGGTAAGGAATGGCATGATATGGCACCACCAAGTTATCCACATAACGTGGGCGTCGGGACCCGCACCATCGGAAGCGCAGGAAGAACGGAAAGTATGGGAGGAGGAACCGGCCCCGCGAAGCAACGCGCGTGATCCACGACAGCACCGGAGGCAGGCAGAGGCCATGAGGGCAGAGGAGACGGCCTCGGAGGAGCGGGAGCCAGCGGCAGCGAAGGCACCGGCTGCGACGGCGACAGAGGCACCGACAGCGGCAGCAACGGAGGGGGCGGCAGCGACGGAAGAGGCGGCAGCGCCAGCGACGGCGACGGCAACGGAAATACCGACATCTTTTTCGCAAGATTTGTATTTAGGGTGTGAGGAATGGAGTTTCCTCACAGGGGAACCAAGTAAGGGTTAAGGCGAGAATTCACGGCGAATTCACAAGAGAGTGAGAGCCGGGGTCCGTTAGAGTGGCAGGGCTCCAGTGCATGACCAGATATGGGCATGAGAGTATGCCTCCGGTACGAGCCCGTGGAGGGAGTCGGGAATGGAGGAGCCCGCAAGGAGCGGCGCTCACGTCAGGCTAGGAACGGCGGGAGCGGGCCGGCAGCGGTCCAGCGCATGTCCATGTATGGACATGAGATCGCGCCACCAGCCCGGTCCCGTTAAGAACGTGAGGAAATCAGGCGAAGAGGCCGATGGCAGCGGTCCAGCGCATGTCCATGTATGGACATGAGATCACGCCACCAGCCCGGTCCCGTTAAGAACGTGAGGGAATCAAGCGAAGAGGCCGATGGAAAATTAGAGGCGCGGACGCTAGCGTCGAAGCGAGGGTATAAGAGGAGCCCGGCAACAGTGAAGGAGGACAGTCAGTGGAGTGCGAGCAACGAGGAAAAAGCGTGAACACATGCGAGTGCGTGAGGACAACTGACAAGGAAAGTCGACGTGAGAGGCAAAGGAAGAACCAAAGTGACCCATCCAAGAGGCAGCAGTACGACCCGGCAAAGGGAACAAGGTCTGCGAGGTGCCAGAGGAAGGACGACAGGTACCGCTTCCGCAAAGGCGATCAAAAGCGACTCAGTGGGTGCGGAGTTGTGTGTGTAGATCAGGCGTGAGCCAGGTCGGACGCATAGCCACAGCACCAGCGAGGAGCCTGAGACGAGAGCGAGAGAGCGTGTAAAACTGAAGAACGATCCATTTGTTGTATAGAACGTAAGATCCCATAAGTATAAGATACCAATAAAACATCCAAAACCAGTAATTAAACCCACCCGTGCATTCTTTCGTGTCTGTGAGGCAACATACAAATTTGTTGCAACGAACCGTCGGCCGCTGAGCCAGCCTCGCTGAGTTAGACGGACAGAAACAGTTCGTTACAACTGGCGCCCAACGTGGGGCCTCACGACAAGCAAAGAAAGGAGTGCATCGGGAAGGGCGGTACTGAAGGGATCTATACACCATGAGGGGACGACAATGGATCCATTCCCTGAGGAAGGAAGAACTGGTCCGGTGTGCTCTAGAGTTTGGGCTGGAACTGGAAGGCACCGTGTCCGAAATGCGGAGACAGTTTAAGGACTGGGTGGAGAAGCACGAGGCGGACCCAGAGTGCGCAGACATGCTGGAGGCCTGGGAGCTCCGGGCAGGTAGAACTTCACCCTTGCCAGCGGAAGATAGGCCCGACGCGTACGAGCGTCTGCCGTTGCCGGGAGGGGCGGGCGCGTCATCGGTGTGGAAAATGCCGGCAGAGGACCTCATAGCAAGCCTGGCGATACCAGACAGGAGCCGCTCCCCGAGGCCGTCCGTCAGTAGACCACGGCCAAAGAGTGTGGATCCAGCGGAGGCCCGGAACACCACGACGCGGGAGCCATCGAGGAGCCGCAACGAAGAGGGGCGGGAAGTTCCCGAGGCGCAGGCCGGGAGGCAGTCGCGCATACTATACGCGAACGTAGCCAAACAGGTGAGGGAATGGTCGTTCCGTTTCGATGGGACGGCGAAGCCCCTGGAGTTTCTGGAACAGGTCGAATGGTCGGCCGATATGTACGGGCTGGACGTGAATCTGATTCCCAGAGCGATGCCAGAATTGCTGAAGGGCCGGGCATTGATGTGGTTCATCGCCAATAATCGGCAGTGGCACACGTGGGAAGCCTTCGCAACAAGCTTCCAGGCCTACTTCTTGCCGAGGGGGTACTTCGAGAAGTTGCTCCAAGAGGTACGACAAAGGAAGCAAAAATGGGGAGAGCCATTCAAGGACTACATGGTGGACATGCAGACCCTCATGAGACCCCTCAAATGTACTCCCGAGGAGCAGATGGAGCTCATCCGCGAGAATAGCATGCCAGACCTGCGGATATTCATCAGGCCACATAGGTGCAAGGACCTGGACCACATGATGATGCTAGCGGATGAGTTCGAGGCTCTGGAGAGGGATCGCGTAGAGTTCCAGAAGGAGAGTCCAGCGGGAAGAGCGAAAGCGGCAAATCCCTTCTCGAAGTCGGCCGTGACTGAAATATGCCGGAGGTGCAAGGACGAGCCGGCCGCCGTAGCGGGACAAACAAAAGCGAAAGTGGAGGCACCGGCGGCGGAGGACCAGACGCATTCCAATATAGAGGGGGATACGTTAAGAATCCCGCCCAAGCATGCCGACGATGCGGAAGTGACGAGCACTGGTCACAGGCATGTCAAGGGCGCCCGTTGACATTCTGCTGGAGGTGTGGAAAGGTCGGCGTCACGACATGGCAGTGCTGCAAAAAGTCGGGAAACGCCCCGCGACCCAAGCCGAGGAGGGCCGTGCCGGGGTCGCAGAATGCAGTCCCCGAAACCTAATCGGTGAACTCACCGTGGAGGATGTGCAGCTGTCAGCCGTGGTGGACATCGCAGGGAGGAAATGGAAGGCCACGGTCGACACAGGGGCCACTAGCAGCTTTGTCAGCTGTGAGCTGGCGGAACAGCTGCGAGGAGAGGGGCGCGAGGAGAAAACCGACAAGCAGGTGCGGTTGGCCGATGGACGCCGTCGCACCATCGAGACAAAAATCGAAGTGGAACTGGCGTTCGGAGACAAAGTGGTCTCAATGGCGCTTCTGGTGCTGCCAGGAGTCATCGATGCGCTGGTACTAGGCTGGGACTTCATTGCCGCAGTCGGAGCAGAGGTGACCTGTGCGGGGCACAGGGTCGTGATCCCTGCGAGAGGCCGACGGAAAGGGCGGGTGGAAGAAAGGCTGTCGGTGGCAGTAGTGGAGGCCAATGAGGAGTCCCCAGAAGGAATGGCGGATGAGGAGTCCGAAGCCGAGTATCCCACGGGAAGCAGGCGCCGCGACAGTGCAGAGGAAGGCCCGTTCGAAGAATTTCTGGCCAAGGAATTGGAGGAATTCAAGAGGATGAAAGGGGTATCGAACGTGGCGGTGCATACGATCACAATGAGCGATGCGATACCGGTTAAGCAGCGATACTACCCGAAGAACCCAAAGATGCAGGCGGAGATCAACCAAAAGGTAGACAAGCTGCTGGAAATGGGGTGTATCGAGCCATCAAAGAGCCCTTATAGTTCCCCCATCGTAATGGTTAAAAAGAAAACTGGTCAGTGGAGGTTGTGCGTGGACTTCCGACAAATCAATGCAAAGTCTATCAAGGACGCATACCCAATGCCGCGGATTGACTACATCTTAGATCAGCTGAGGGAAGCACGGTTCATCAGCAGATTGGATTTGAAGGACGGCAAATACCACTGGAAAAGGATAGCCGGAAGTTCACAGCCTTCACGGTGCCAGGCAAGGGATTGTTCCAATGGAAAGTGATGCCGTTCGGGCTACATTCGGCCTCGGCCACGTTTCAGAGGGCGTTGGACCAGGTTATTGGTCCGGAAATGATGCCGCATGCTTTCGCATACCAAGACGATATCATCGTTATAGGCCGAACGAAAGAGGAGCACCAACGTAATCTGGAGGAGGTGTTCCGACGCTTAAAAAGGGCCAACTTAAGGTTGAATGTGGAAAAATGCCAGTTCGGCCGAAGGGAGCTGCGGTACCTGGGGCATTTGGTGACGGGGAAGGCATCTGCACTGATCCGGAAAAGGTGGCCGCCATCGCAGAGCTGAAGCCACCGGCGAACGTGAAAGAGCTTCGCCAGTACCTGGGCGTCGCCTCATGTTACCGACGATTCGTGCCAGGATTCGCCACCATGGTACAGCCGCTTAGCACATTGCTGAAGAAAAAGGTGAAGTGGGAATGGGCATCAGAGCAACAACAGGCATTTGAGTCCGTGAAGGGTCGGCTGGTAGCCGATCCGGTGCTAACTTGCCCGGATTTCTCGAAGAAGTTTGTGCTACAGACGGACGCCAGCGACTATGGATTGGGAGCGATTCTCACCCAAGAAACGGAGAAGGGCGAAAGGGTGATCTCATACGCCAGCCGAACGCTGAACAGTGCGGAGAAGAATTACTCGGCTACAGAGAAGGAATGCCTGGCAATTGTGTGGGCCATCAGGAAGCTCAAACCCTATTTGGAAGGGTATCACTTCAAGGTGGTCACCGACCACATGGCATTGAAGTGGCTCAACAGCATAGAGAGCCCGACGGGGAGAATCGCAAGATGGGCGCTAGAGCTACAGCAATACGACTTCGAAATAGCGTATAGGAAGGGGAAGCAGAACGTGGTGGCTGACGCGCTATCCCGACAGCCCATGGAAGAGCGATGTATGCGAGCGGAGGAGGTTGGACAGGAGCCCGAAGAGCAATGCTCATGGATAAAGAAGGTCAAGGAGAAGATGAGAAGGGAGCCGGCCAAGTTCCCAGATTATGTGGAGGAGGCAGGCGGGGTGTACCGGCATATCCCGCACCGGGCCGGCGACGAAGAAGTAGTAGCTTGGAAGCTTTGCGTGCCGAAGGATCGGCGGGAGCGGGTCATGAGGGAGAACCACGATATCCCGGAGGCGGGTCACGCCGGCGGCAGGAAAATGATGGCAAGGATAGCTGCCAGGTACTACTGGCCGGGGATGCACCGAGACGTGAGGACGTATGTCAGGAAATGTGACACCTGCATGCGTTTCAAACCAAGTCAGGCACAGGCGGCCGGGAAGATGCTGACACAAGTACCAGAGGAACCATGGGCGACGGTGTGCGCGGATTTTGTGGGACCATTGCCCAGATCAAAACACGGCAACGCCATGCTGTTGGTGCTGGTGGACCGGTTTTCAAAATGGACCGAGCTGGTGCCAATGAGAAAGGCCACGGCAGAAGCCCTGATAAAGGCTTTCAGAGAAAGAATATTGGCCCGGTTCGGCGTACCCAAGGTGATGATCACCGACAATGGGGTACAATTCACCAGTCGGGCGTTTAAAAAGTTTCTGGATCAGATGGGAGTTCGACACCAGTTTACGGCACCGTACACGCCGCAAGAAAACCCGACGGAACGCACCAACAGAACGGTGAAAACCATGATCGCGCAGTTCACCGAAGGGGACCAGAGATGCTGGGACGAGAAGTGGCCCGAGTTAATGCTGGCCGTGAACTCTGGGGTCACTGAGTCCACTGGATTCGCACCAGCATTCATAGTGCAAGGGAGAGAGCCCAGGCTGCCGAAGGCGTTGTACGATGAGGAAACACTCGGCACGGGTCAGGAGACAAACACTCCGGATGAACATGCGGTAAAGCTGAAAGAACTTTTTCAGCTGGTGAGGCGGAATTTGGAAAGAGCAGCCCAGGATCAGGCAAGATATTACAACTTGCGAAACAGAGCTTGGAAGCCCAAGGTCGGTGAAAAGGTGTGGGTTAAACAGCACCACCTGTCTAACGCAGCCGAGGGGTTCGCAGCAAAATTGGCCCCAAAGTATGCCGGTCCCTACCAGATCACTGATTTCGTATCACCGGTGATATGCAAGCTGCGTAAAGACGGCGATAGGCATACACGGACGGCACATATTGGGGATCTGAAGCCACAGGCAAACGACGAAGGAAAATAAGGAGTCAGAAACGGGTGGAGCGATCCAGAAGCCAAAGGCGTTCGGCTGACCGAGACCCGGGCGGAGAGATACCCTCGGGGGTCCAGTGAAGTGGGAGTGATACTCCGGGTCCTGGGGTCCAGTGTGCCTGGGTCATCTACAGCCGTCGGGCTTGGCTGGGCAGAAGACACTACCCATGCGTTGCTGACGGGCGAGGAGTCGGATGATCCTCGGGTCCGAAGCAGCTGCGTGGGGCAGAGGTCACGCCAAAGGTCAAGCCGGAGGCGGCAATGAGGTGACGAGCCAGGGCCGATAGTCATATTGCAGCCAGGCGAAAGGTCGGAGGACCTGTTAGTCAGGGGCAGGTGTGACGATTGGCATCACGGATCAAGGATGCAAGATGGGCTGGAGAAGAAGCCAGAGTCATTAAAGGATAGCGCACATTCACAGTACTCACATGGGCCGAAGGGGGTGTCGATCAGTCGGGGGAGAGGGGAAGCCGGGCGGCAAGGCCTAAGAAAAAAAAGGAAAAAAAAGGAAGAATATAATAAATGGGAAAAGGAAAATATATATATTTAAAGCTCTTCAAACAAAAGGGGGTGGGATCAGGTATGATCGGGTGCGAGCAGACCCCCACCGGCCGCGGAAGGGTTAACGCGGCGAAGAGCCCAATGCTGAGAGGCAGGAACCGTCGAGAGAGCGGGAGAAGGAATGCCCAACTACCGTACGACGGAACGACGGGAAAAACAGCAAGGGCTCGACGGCGGCAGAGGCTGGAGCTGTCGATCAGTCACGAGCCAGAGGTAGACGCAAACGCAAGCGCGGACTTTATAAGAGAAAAAAAAAAAGGGAAGAAAATCGCCATGTTGGAATTTTACTTGGAGGAACAAGCCAGAAGTGTGGGGAGCCGCAATCCCGAGATCCAGCGCAAGCGACGGGCGGAGCCCTCGCGAGGTAAGCGATGCGATCGGCGGAGCGAGACTCCAGAGTTGGAGCTCATGGCGTCCCCATTCACAAGCCCCATGGCATCCCCAAGGAGCGAGTGGTCCTCGTGGGCGTCTCCTCGAAGCAGACGGGAGCCGGAAGTGTCGCCAGGAGCAACGGAGGAGGAGGACAGCGACGGCAGCGACGTGGTGGTGGTCTCCGTCGAGCCGGCTCCGAGGAGAGCCGAGCTCCGGAGATGGCAGCTCAACGACGAGGAGGAGCGGGCACGGGAGCAGGAGCTGCGACGCGACGCAGCGTTCCTCGGCATCGCCATCCGATCGGCGGAGCGCTATTTGCGTGAGCGGAAGCGCGAAACTGCAGGGCAACGGGAGCCGAAGCAGCCGTTGAAAACCAGGCCGCCAGCGACGCCATCGCAGCCGACGTCAAGGCCAGCAGCAGCGCAGCAGGGACGGACGGCAGAGGTACCGTTGCAACGGAGAGCGCAGGCCTCAGCACACCCGACAGCGCAGCCGCCAGCGACGTCAGCAGCGCAGCCGCCAGCGACGCCAGCGGCGCAGCCACCAGCGACGTCAGCAGCGCAGCCGCCAGCGACGCCAGCGGCGCAGCCACCAGCGACGCCAGCAGCGCAGCCGCCAGCGACGCCAGCAGCACAGCCGGCAGCGACCCCAGCAGCGCGGCCAACAGCCGAGACCGTGCGGAGGAGCCAGATGGAGCAGCAGCGCAATCGGCGAGCAGCAGCAGAGGCGCGACGCGAGGAGGAGCGGCGACGCGAGGAGGGACGGCGACGCGAGGAGGAGCGGCGACGCGAAGAGGAGCGGCGACATGAGGAGGAGGCCCGAAGCAAGGCAGCGGAGAAGGCGCAAAGGGAGGCGGCGCTGAACAAGGCCATGATGCGGGAAGCATATGCCGCCCTGCAACGGCAGATGGAGGCCGCGCGGCGGGAAGCCGAAGCTCACGAGAGGATCGAGGAGGAGGCTCCGCCTCCTCCGAGGTTCCTCAAGGGGAGGACAGGTCTGTTTAGCGGACCGACGGGGCAGCAGCAACCCAAACAGGGTGAGGAGGCACCCTTATGGGAACGCCGGCACCCCGAGCCACCGCCGCAGCCACAGAGCACACAACAACCGACGCCCCCGCAGTCACCGCCACCAAAATCACCACCGCCGAACGCACCGACACAACAGTCGTCGTCACGACAGGAGGAGGCACCGAAGGAGCCGCCACAGGAAGAGGCCCAGCGGCCCCAGTGGGGTGGTCCGGAGACCGCGGTGTGCGGGCCATTTGTGTCACAAAACGTGCACACGGCGGTAAGGAATGGCATGATATGGCACCACCAAGTTATCCACATAACGTGGGCGTCGGGACCCGCACCATCGGAAGCGCAGGAAGAACGGAAAGTATGGGAGGAGGAACCGGCCCCGCGAAGCAACGCGCGTGATCCACGACAGCACCGGAGGCAGGCAGAGGCCATGAGGGCAGAGGAGACGGCGTCGGAGGAGCGGGAGCCAGCGGCAGCGAAGGCACCGGCTGCGACGGCGACAGAGGCACCGACAGCGGCAGCAACGGAGGGGGCGGCAGCGACGGAAGAGGCGGCAGCGCCAGCGACGGCGACGGCAACGGAAATACCGACGGCGGCGATGGAGGTACCGGCAGCGACGGTGACGGAGGTACCGGCAGCGACGGTGACGGAGGAACCGGCAGTGCCAGCAATGACGACGGCGACGGAGGTACCGTCAGCGAACACGGAAAGCGAGAGGTGGGAGCGCGGTCCGTGGGTGTGGCCCTCACCTGCGAAAGACAAGCCTAGGCCTGTCCTAGTGCGGCAATCGTCGTGCCCGGATCCCAGGGCTGAGGTCGCCCGGCCGAAGCTGCAGAGACAGCAGTCGGTGGAGGAGCCGACGGGGAAGAACGTCCGCTGGCGACATGTGGATGTTGAAGAATGGCCGGAGGCAGTGGCTCGGGCGGTGGAAGGCACACGCCGGATCGGTCGACGCGTGAAGCGTCTCGTGAGGGTGCGCGGGGTGCGGTACCGGGTATCAGCATCGGCAAACCAGGTCGAGGTGTCCGTCGAGGCATGAAAGGGGGGAGGGAAAATTTGTGAATGAGATTAAAATGAATAAAGAATGAAGTACAACTTACCCCGGGGCATGGCAGCTTGATGTCGGGATAGGCGGGGGTTTAACACGCGAGGTATACAGAGCCCACGAGGGCAGCAACATAAAACTTACGCGAAAACGCGGCCGGCCAGCGTATACAATAGTTACCGCAAGCGGAAGCAACACGTGAAAAGGGGAGCGGTCCGGCAACACGTGAAGAGGGTCTGGCAGCACGATCAGAGGCGCACATATCGTGCACCTATCGTGCACGCAAAGCGCACCTACGTGCACGCGAAGCGCGCACCTACCGGGAGAATCATGCACGGGGCTGGTTCCGGAACTGCATCGGCAGACCCGATCCGATAGGTGGCGAACCGATCGGGCAGTGGAGGAACCAGTCCGGAACCAGCGTGAGTGCGCGCCCGCGCGCACGCTTTAATTCAAATGGGAAGGTGGCCGAGAGGAAAACGAAGGGAGTTTTCCTCTGGTAAAGAAAGGGGGAAGTGTGAGGAATGGAGTTTCCTCACAGGGGAACCAAGTAAGGGTTAAGGCGAGAATTCACGGCGAATTCACAAGAGAGTGAGAGCCGGGGTCCGTTAGAGTGGCAGGGCTCCAGTGCATGACCAGATATGGGCATGAGAGTATGCCTCCGGTACGAGCCCGTGGAGGGAGTCGGGAATGGAGGAGCCCGCAAGGAGCGGCGCTCACGTCAGGCTAGGAACGGCGGGAGCGGGCCGGCAGCGGTCCAGCGCATGTCCATGTATGGACATGAGATCGCGCCACCAGCCCGGTCCCGTTAAGAACGTGAGGGAATCAGGCGAAGAGGCCGATGGCAGCGGTCCAGCGCATGTCCATGTATGGACATGAGATCACGCCACCAGCCCGGTCCCGTTAAGAACGTGAGGGAATCAAGCGAAGAGGCCGATGGAAAATTACCAGCGGCGCACGGATTTACCGCTGTTGCTAGGCAGAGGCGCGGACGCTAGCGTCGAAGCGAGGGTATAAGAGGAGCCCGGCAACAGTGAAGGAGGACAGTCAGTGGAGTGCGAGCAACGAGGAAAAAGCGTGAACACAAGCGAGTGCGTGAGGACAACTGACAAGGAAAGTCGACGTGAGAGGCAAAGGAAGAACCAAAGTGACCCATCCAAGAGGCAGTACGACCCGGCAGAGGGAACAAGGTCTGCGAGGTGCCAGAGGAAGGACGACAGGTACCGCTTCCGGAAAGGCGATCAAAAGCGACTCAGTGGGTTTTTTTTTTTTTTGTATTCATTTAATGGCTTCAATAGTGCTTATACCTAAGAACAATACAATGTGATACGAACAGTTGGGGGACAGATGGGGTAGGGGTCGTGCGACTAGCGGTACTGCCGCAAGGCATTGCTTCGCCCGCGCGGAGACACCTACTCCGTTTGCTCCTTCCGCCTTCTCTCCATGGCCCTGAGCGTTTTCATAACGCTCGCGGCGAACACCGCGGCAGCTTCCCAGATCCTCTGGTCTGCCAGCATCAGCGGCACCAGGTTGTTGACGCATATTGCAGACCCTGCAATGGCTTCAAGCTCCTGTCGCTCGTATGCGAACCGGTGGCACTCGAAGAGGACGTGCTGAGCGTCCTCCACTATGCCAGAGCCGCACTCCGGGCACCAGTCCTCCGTATCGTGCCCAAAGCGCTTGAGGTAGCTACGGAAGCAGCCATGCCCGCTCAGCGCCTGGGTTAGGTAGTGGTCTACCTGCCCGTGCTTCCTTCCGACCCAGGACGAGATGTGTGGGATGAGGGAGTGCGTCCAGCGCCCTTTTTGGGAGCTGTCCCACCTCCTCTGCCATTTCTCCATGCTGCTCCTTCTAGCGGCAGCCTTCAGCTCTGCCTTGCTGATTCCTGCTTCGTCGTCCTGCAGGGCGTCGTAAATTTCCCCTGCGCTCCCGGATCAGCTCCCCTAGGGGGAATATGCCCGGCGATGACCAGCGCTGCCTCGTCCGAGATGGTCCGGAACGCGCATGCGATCCTGATGGCGCATAGCCGATGCGTGGCCTCCAGCCCCCGCATATAGCTTTTCACCGTTGCGGCCTTCGCCCACACCGGCGCGGCGTAGAGCATTTGCGCCGTTACAACGCTCGTCAGCAGCTTCCTCGTTGCCTGTTTTGGGCCTCTGGTGTTGAGCAGCAACCTCGAGAGCGATCCTACGGTTCCGCTGGCCTTCTTGTTGATGTACTCCAGGTGCTCCTTGAAGGATAGCCTCGTGTCTATGTGGACACCCAGGTATTTAATCGACCTTTGGGAGGTGATCGTGGTCCCTCCGACTTGCACGATGGCAGTCTCCACCGCTTTCCGGCTCGATATGAGCACAGCCTCCGTCTTGTGGGCCGCCAGCTCGAGGCCTGCTACCGCTAGCCACGATTCCACGGCTTGGATAGCCTCGTTGGCGAGGTTTTCCACGGCGGCAAGGTCCTTTGCGACCACCACTATCGCGACATCGTCCGCGAAGCCTACCAAGCTTGTGCTGGCTGGCATCGGCAACCTCAAAACTCCATCGTACATGGCGTTCCAGAGCAGGGGTCCCAAAACGGAGCCCTGCGGGACTCCGGCTGAGACTTCGTATGCTCTGGAACCCAGACTCGTGTCCATCGTGAGTACCCTGGCGCTGAAATAGCTGTAAGCTATATTCAGCAGGTACCCCGGATGTTGAAGCTTCTGAGGGCCTCCAGCGTTCGGCCCCAATCGGCAGAGTTGAAGGCGTTCCTTACATCCAGCGTCACCACCAGACAGTAGGACTTGCTTCCACCTCTCCACCTGGTTCCCGCGCATGCCTCCTTTGCCGTTTCTACCACTCTTGAGATGGCGTCCAGCGTTGACTTCCCCTTCCTGAAGCCGTATTGGCCCGGGAGAGACCGCCAGCCGCTTCGATGGCTGCACTCAGCCTCGTTGCAACCACCTTCTCGAAGACCTTCCCGATGGTGTCCAGCAGACAGATGGGCCTGTAGGAGGAGGCCTCTCCTGGCGGCTTGCCCGGCTTGGCCAGAAGTAGCAGCCGCTGCCTCTTCCACCTCTCGGGAACGTGCCCTCCTGTAGGCACTGGTTAAACAGGCCAGCAACCTCCGTCGGGAGCAGCGCTAGCGCCAGCTTTAGCGCCCTGTTGGGGATCGCATCTGGGCCCGGTGCCTTCTTGGGCTTTAGGCGTCTGCCCGCACGCCGTACCTCGTCTTCCGTGACCTCGGATATCTCGCCTCGTCTTAACTCCGACCGTGGAGAGCTCACGACCCGTTGCCCTCGTGGGAACAGGGCGCTAACTATCCCCTCCAGCTCCTCGGGATCAGTTGGGGCTTTGCCTCCCGCGTTGATCCTCTTCACCACCATCTGGTACGCACGTCCCCAGGGATCTTCTTCAACTGCATCGCACAGCTTGAGGAAGCATTCCCTCTTGCTGCTCCTGATGGCTGTCTTCAGCTCCTTTCTTGCCGCCTTGTAGCGCTCGCTGCAGCTGTCCAGGCGCGAAGTGCCCCTAGCCCGTTGCAGAAGCCTTCTGGCGCGGAGGCATGTTCTGCGGAGTTCAGCGATCTCCTCGCTCCACCAGAACACCGGCACTTGGTGCGACCGGAATGTCCGCCTCGGGAGCATGCTTTGGTCGCATGCGCCCTCCAATGCGGAGGCCAGTTTGTTGGCCCTCTCATTGGCTCCATCCGCTTCTGTCGCCGAGAAGCTCCCCAGTGCATCTGCGAAGATCTGCGGCCTCAGCGTGTCCGGCCGGTACGCCTTCCTTTGGGGGGGAGGTTCTGCCCCTCGCCCAGGCACGCCCACCGAGCACTGGATTGCCTCGTGGTCGCTGGCGGTGTAGACCTCGCTGACCTTCCAACGAGCGTGGCGTGCCAGCGCGCTGCTGGCATATGTGATGTCAATGACTGACCCCGTGCCTGCCCTGCTGAAGGTTTGCCGGGACCCTTCGTTTAGCAGGACGATGTCCAGCGTGGCGAAAGCCTCTAGCACCGTGCGACCTCTGGCATTGGTACGGGAGGACCCCCATTCCTGGGCCCAGGCATTGAAGTCGCCCCCGACCACGACGTTGCTCCGTCCTCTCAGGTCGCTGCACAGATCGTCCAGGATCCTGCTGAAGCTCTCCAGCGAGAGACTGGGCGCCAGGTAGCAGCTGTACAGCCACGTACCTCCAACGTTCGCCCGGACGAATCCTTCTGCTGACTTGGCGTCGCGCATCTGTGGAGCATTCACTCCGCAGAGCCACAGGGAAGCTTTGCCCGTGCTGTCCGTGGCCCACACGCTGCTGCTCCCCACCTTGTAGGGTTCGCTGAGGATTGCCACCTCCGAGCCCAGCTCACGCACCGTCTGCGCCAGGAGATCCTGCGCCGCTCTGCAGTGATTCAAATTTAGTTGAATCAACTGCATGAGGACCTGGCGTTCTTGACCCCGCTGCTTGCGGCTGGGCAGCTCCTACTGCCAGCCTGATGCCTTGTCTCCTTCATCCCAGCTGCTGAGCAGATAAAGCACGATGGCTCCTTGCTGCACTCGGCTGCCTTGTGCCCCTGTCCACCGCATTTGATGCAGCAGCCGCTCCTGTCCACCGAGCTCTTGCAATTACTTGCAATATGCCCGGGTTCCAGGCACCTGTAGCATCTTGGGAGACCCTCTCTTTCTCGGATCCTGCAGACGGTCCAGCCGATCCGCACCTCTCCGCGCTCCAAAACGGCTTTGCCCACGGAAAAGGGCAAGCTGACCACCGCCAACTGTGACTCCGAGTAGCCTCGTCGCAAGCTCCGCACTCGTATTTGGCCCTCCTCGATTTTGTGCTGGCTCGCGATGGCGCCGCAGATCTCCCGCTCCGTTGCGAGGGAGTCGAGGTCGCGTATCTCCAGCACGACCACCTTGGAGTCCTCCGTCATGGCACGCACCGTCGCTGCGTCGCCGAGGACCCGCGCGATGCTGTCCTTCATGGCCTCCGCACTCTCTGCGCTGCCTTTGGCCACCTCCAGCAGTAGGT